GATAGTAGCAAAGCCCAAGATAAAAATCTTTATCTATAAGTATTAACGTGAACGCTATGGGCAAACTGCCAGGTGGTTCTAGATCAAACTTCATTTTGGCACGATTTGTTACGATTCGAAGAAAGTGAGCCTGAGAACTAAAACAATAGAATACATGTACTAACACCCGGTTTCCGAAAGGCCGATCAATGTTAAAATCAATTTAATCTCTTGTCAAGTCTTCTGATTGGTTGACTGAATTATCAACAACCAATCAGATGACTTGACAAGAGATTTAACAGGAGATTAGTTAATTTTAGCGTTAACAAGCCTTTCAGAAACCAGTTGTAAGTATTGCAATGATATTATAAGTAAAATGGTTTATATAGGTTACATAAACAACATTCGATTTTCAAAAACGGCACTCTATACGCACATGAATAAATCGTACATATGATACCTACACGTTGAAGTGGGATGGCATGATTCAATAATCGCGAGTAAAAAAGAGACAAATACATATGAAAAAGTGGCAAGTTAGCTAAACTTTAATGTATCACTGGCTGAGCGCTTGTAACCAATCTACACCTTTTTACTTATAATATCATTGAAGTACCTATTGTATTTGTGATAGTTTTTTTATGAGATGGATCGGTAAATGATAGCTAGACAGAAGTAACGGTGACTATAGGTAGAAAGAAACCCACTCCCCCGTATAAAAAAATAAGATTTATCTTTAGTTCAGGTTTAAACCATTGAGTCAGGTTTTGTATTTTGAATCTTATTGTCGCCTATCTTCAATTTAAAATACAAAAACTGGCTCAATGGTTTTGACCAAGACTAAAGAAAAGCCTTGTTTTGTAAAAATACCGACTGTGACTAGAGAGTGAAAGTAAATATCCAGGACTATATAATATAACGATGCTTCCGACAACAAAGGTCGTAAACACCAAAATAGCACTTTTGGTAATCAACGAAAAACAAAAAATAATTTAGTTTTTGGCTTATATCTTTTTAACTTTAAAAGTTGTAAAATTGTGTTCTATACAAGAAATACGTAAAATACGATGGTGTTTCATAATATATTATTGCTATTTATGTCAAAGCCTTATTTTAAAAGTTAGCTTGGACATACACCCCAGAAAATTAAAGAAGTTGGTATTTACGACCACTAACAAATCAATGGAGAACGATTTGTCTAACGGAAGTTAGAAGTATGCACCAGTTTTTAAATATAATAGTTCTGGCTTTGGTTTTAAAAACCATATACTGAAATAAAAATGAGTGTAAACACCACGATCTGATGCGATGGTATGTAACAAACATGGAAATATCTGAAACGAAAGTCTATAGTCCTTTCGACTGGCAGGTCCTAAAGGTATAAAAATACACTTAAGTACGTATATTATAGGCATCTTCCCGTATATAATTTAATCAAGCGTTTGTTACAAGATGCCTATAGTGTTCTACCTCCAACGACGTACCTAACCAGCCAGACATAATTCAAAATGTTAAGTAATCATTATGTTTCATGGATTTCAAGAAGATTTTATAATCACGACTTTTTTTTAAAACGTATTGATAATGAATTACAAAACAATATAAGTAAATATTCTACCAAGCTATTAAAATTATTAGAACAGTAATGCTCTAATAATTTTAATTAATTTTTAAGGGCGTTGGTGAAAATGGACATTGTTTATGTCCATTTTCACCATCCCTAATCCCTAAAAGGTCGGCAACGCACTCGTAAATCCTCTGTTGCGAGTGTCCATGGGCGGCGCTGATTGCTTACCATCAGGTAATCCGTCGCTTGCTCGTTGGCAGACCTATTACATAAAAAAAAACGACCTACATAATTCATTTTTCATACAAATTCTCCAAGACCAAGTGACATTACGACAATTGTTTCTCAGCAGAGCTTACGTTTTAAAAATGATTGTGGGGTGTAATTACAATTAATTATGTATTCATGTTTGTACGACCGACAGCTGTTTGTAAGTTGTAATAAACGACCTGCACGGTTATTCGGTTCTAAGCAATATGAGTTATACATACCCTCTTTTCAAAAAAATCTTGATTACACTAGTACAAATTTGGGGTGTAAAAGTATGTTTTTTTAGGCGAATATTTTTTTCACATTTTTAGATCGACGCAGCGCCAAAAATTAAGTAGGGCTGCATTCTTAACTCATTTTCGCCAAAATGGCGTTTACGACATTTGTTGCCGGAGGCATCGATAATATACCTACCGTCTGACGCGAAGCTGAAATGATTTCCGAACAGTCAATTGGCCCATGAACCATTGGTCAACATTATTTTTGACCCATTATCTTGTCGTCCAAAGGACTTTTCATCCACGAACGTTTCGCCCGCATAATTCTTCGTCAGTGAATGCTTAACCAACAGAATGTTTTGACCAATAACTTTTCAACCGAAGAACAATTGGCCCATGGACTATTCCCCAAGAGAACTGCACGTCAGTGAGTTTTTAAATAACCTCTAGAAGCAATAATAACCTAGGGATACGACCGTTGAACTACCAAGTCACCGGTCGTAGGTTCCAATTCCGATACGCGCCAATATATTGAATTCACGTGCATATTACAAATTATAGCAAAGGATTGCAGAAACCGGTAAAAAAACATCTTTAGGAAACCTTCTTATGTGCTGGTGGTTTTTTTTTTATTGATTATAGGTTCGCGCTTGACCGCTATCTCACCTGATGGAAAGCGACGATGCGGTCGACGATGGAGCGCGCTTACCTAGAACAACTGGTAATGTGCCAAAAAAGTTAAGATTGCCGGGATCCCTTGATCCCCGACGCCCGCAGTGTCGCCTGTTGCGGCGGCTGGGGTGTGAGGAGGAGCATTGATCCCTCACGCGGGCAGCCTCCCTCTTTGCGAGCATAACTGCTTCACAGAAGGAGGATACGGCGTCCCAGCTCCTCTGTAACTAACGAACAGGGAAGTTTTTGAAGATACCTGTTTTGGATCCAGCAGGAGGTGACGCCCAGGTGTCATCATTGCAAGAACCACTCGGAGGGCACGGTGGAACATACGGTGGCGGCGTACCCAGCTTGGGCTAAGCACCGCCGGCGGCATGTTCTCTGGTGGCGGCCACCCTTCGTGCCCGGCAATTGTCTAGGCCATGGTATAGAGCGAGAGGGACTGGGGAACCATCTTCTCCTTTTGCGAAGCAGTCATGCTTGAAAAGGAGACAGAGCGCCACATATCTTTAAAAATATACCTATTACATATTATTAACGGTATTATTATACTAACATTAACTTAAAATATTTATGCTAGTGTGTAAGGTAAAAAGTTGCGCAAGAAATAAAAAAATGGCAACTATTAAGCGCCTACGAAATATAAAATAGTTTAAAGTCGCGCGGAAACATATTGCTGCTATTTAAATTTACGTTTTTTAAGCTTTCATTCCTAGTAATTCGAGGTACAATAGAAAAACAATAGGTGCACGAACGCCGGCGTTCGCTTGGAGTTTGATAAATTAAGACAGGTAGGTAAAATAAGTAAAATATTTAACATTTAATAACTAGGTACTTATTATATGATATTTCGGTAAACGAGCAGACGGGTTATCTGATGGTAGGCAATCAGCGCCACGTTGGCGGAATGTCCAGCTTGGGCCGAGCAGCGCCGTGACCTGGTCGCGGCCGTAGGTGCTGCGGGAAATCTCTCGCTTCCGGCTGTAGTGTCTACTATGGTCGGGAGCGAGTCAGGGTGGAGTGCCGTCGCTATCTTTTGCGAGGCCGTGATGCTCGCAAAGGAGGCGGCGGAAAGGGAGAGAGAGGCTGCCTCCTCTCTTTCCTCCCGCAGCAGACGTACTAGACGTCATAGAGTGGCCGACCTGCGGCCACCGTAGGGCGCGGCCTGCGGACGACAGACCCGGGGCGTCTAGTCGTCCGACCAGCAGCAGGCCTCGAGGCGGCGGTGCCGTGTTCCGCGCGCGCCTCGTAGTGGAGTCCTGCGGTCGGGGTGATGGCCGCAGTGGGTGACGGGGCCCGCCTTACCATCTGGCGGGCCAATACCCGTCGGGGGGTTGCGACGAATGCTTCGGCGATACCCGCCCCTCCGACACATGGGTTATTGGAGGAACATCGGGTTGGTTTTTAGTCAGTAAGAGTCTGACAGTACCCTTCGCCCTTACCCCCCGAGGGCGGTGGGTCTCCATGAGGATTTTCCAACCCGACACAAAAAAAAAAAAAGGCAATCAGCGCCGCCCATGGACACCCGCAATGGAGGAGTTTCGAGTGCCGACCTTTTAGGGATTATCCGGTGGACAAGCATGGCTCTCCCACATTTACTCCACTCAGACAAATAATCATAGAAAATTAACGATTATTCTGTCAATCTTAAACCTAACCTCTATATTTGAAAAAATAAATAAAAAAATTTGCGACAAGATTTTCTCCTGTGTCGTGAACCACAATTTGTGAATCATACAAAGTGTTGTTCCAAGCAGAAATCAAACCCACGACACATTGCACCGAACGAACGAACCGTGCAGTCAAATTATTACAATAACTTTGTACAAAGATAAATATCTATCTATTACAAAACAAGTTTTATTTAAGAAGCGGTAAAGTATTATGCTTGTTAATATTATAAATATGTTACGCAAGTGGCCACACCAAATCAATTTTCTCACCTTGTTAAGATTACTGTAAAATGGTAACTAGTAATAAAATGCTTTAACTATTATGTAAAAGCAGATAGAATTTATCACTTAATCAATTACCGGTTTTAGTTGGTTTTATTTAGGCAGGGTAAACACAATTTTTTTAGGGTTTGACTAATAATTATCTAATAGTGGTAGAAAACTACGTAACAAAAATGAAGGCATGAATTAAATTCATACTTATTTAATTACGATGCTTACGGTAATTAATTTAGAAACTCAGTAATAACACAAAGTCTAGATTTTAAAGCGCTATGTTGCAATTGTTAACTAGGTACAGATAAAAATAGCACTCATAAAGCAAGTCTTATGTCAGCTTACCACATAGAATGAATGAAACGGAACGCTGCAGAAATCGGCGCGAAACCCTCCTACGCGGGCCTTTCAAAAATCGTCACATTCGCGAGTTACGTTCCATACCGCGACCGGCCGCGCACCTTTCGCCGCACGCCGTTAACACTGATAAAAAAAAAATACATTTTGAATTTCGAACGAAACAAGACAAGCTCTCCCTTTAAAATATTCGTACAGCGAATTTTGGAAGCGCATTTTATTTCGTTTATTTCTTAGTAAAAATAATTATATTTTGTGTTTGTGAAAATGGTTCGTAAAATCAGTGGACTCCTGTGTTGCCTCTGCGTTTTCGGCATCTCATTTAGTGACAGCGCCATATCAGCTGATTCTGTAAGTATAAAATTAATTACCTAAGTTACCTAAGTATCTAAAACAATTAAGCAAAATAAAAAAAACACATTTCATGTAGTAAACGGAGCAAAACTGCAATCAGATTGATTGACTTATGCAGTAATTTAATTGCAATAGCTTTCATTGTAACATTGATAAATGCAGGAAGTTAATTTAGGTAATTGATTTAACATTCTGAGTATTACGGTTAGCTAACGAATTTGAGTTAAACTAAAACATGATAAATGTAAAGTAATTTTTTTTTCAATTCATCAACAAATCTTCATATACATATTATATTACTTTTTGTAGATATTTTATGACAAATTTTTATTAAAAAAATACTTCATATTTAACTAATTAAATAATTAAATAAAATAAAAACCGAAATTTTTATTAACGAACTCGAAGACCAATTTTCTTTTTCTTTTTAATGTTCTAAATTCAAATTAATTTTTTACTGATCATGATGCGCAATGATGTGAAAGTTTATCTAATAAGGTTTTAATCTGCGTATGTCTAAATCAGCTATTTAAACCTGTAAGGGTGACCTTAGTTTGGTATATAAAGCTGCTCTAGTTACTAGGCCGGCCTTGAGTATTGAATGTAACTTGTCACACTGGTGGACAAGATGTAAGTATTATTATAACTGACATTATTTATTTAGATTAAGGTCCTATAGGTAGTTGTGGGCATTCATTTTCCTTGTGTCCATAATTAAAATATAATTTAGCTCAAGGTTCTAGAATGTGATTATTAGGTAAAATTTTACCTTCTTTTGAGCCTGGTTGTCTACCGGCTTGGGTGGGACGGGACTGGGTAAGGTATGGCAGACTGACTTACAACTCGAGCTGAGAACTACGCCTTACTTAGATTATTTACTATTGTTATAAATTTGCTTTGTTTTTTTATCTACGCAAGATTAGACTAACATTAAAACTCAAAGCCTAACAGGAACATATGTATAACGCCTAAGTCTAATCGTTATTGTGTGAACCTAGTGATTCATACGCAATACCTACTCATTCAAAGGTACCTACTATAATAGTTGCTACCATTGTAGGCACTATGTGTTTAGCACGCACATTACATAAACCTTGAATGGACTAAACCTGATTAATTTTACAATTAGGCTGTAAAGTGACAATAGGTGCGTTTAATTACATTTTTTGTAATATTTTTTTAAGAAATAGAAAAATATTGTCGTAAAGAGAAAAATTTTGTTCTTTACCAAACTAGACTAAGAGCATCGCACGATCTGAATTTAGATTAAATAGCAAAGTATGAAAGATTTGTAGTAATATTAATGAGTAGTAACTTATTTTCTACAAGTCCAAAGGACCAAATCTCTCCCTCCGCCATCACTAATCCTTAAATCTCCAATCCCAAAATCCCCAGTACTCAAAACTAACTCCCAAAAAGCGGCGCACTCGTATGTTCTCTGAGGGCGGCGCCAATGGCTTACCTATTAAATGATGCATCTGCTCGTTTGCCGCCTTATCACACAAGAAGTGTCATTATTTAAGAATACATTAACAATCAAACTATTTATTAAAACCTCAAGAAAACGCATCTGAGCCACATCAGTGAAGAGTATTGACGAAAAAAAAACATCCTAGTTATCCCTCTACACACCTACATAGACGAGAGTCAATAACATATTAAAAAACATTACTAAACATTGATTCATAGTTTAATTGGCTATGAAATTGAAGGAAACATGCATAATGCAACTTGCAGGCAGGTAGGCTAACGTTGACCAACATTAAGCGAATCAGGTGCCTTCAACAATTGGTGCGTGGAGAAGGGTGAAAGTGTTCAGTCAACGGTGTGTTATGGCGTATGCTAATTATGGAGTACTCGTTTACCATGACTCCAAGTCTACTATTGCCTGTTATTACAGCTTCACATGGCTGCTATTCCAACATAATTCCACTGGTGTTGTGACTTGTCATTGTGGATATGGTTGCTTCATGTTTTACAAGGGTAAATTACAACTACTTTTGTATAGACATCCATAGTTTAAATGTGGATATATTTACATATAGAAGGACTAGTATTTGCCCGCGACTTTGTTCTCGAGGTATAGTGACTTCCTGTAGATTTTTGGTTCAAAAACTATTCTATATCCTTTCTCGAGTTCCAAACTATGTCTGTACCAAATTTCACACAAGTACCTAGTATCAGTAGTTTATACGTGAAGAAAAGACAGACAGACAGAGTTACTTTCGCATGTATAATATTAGTTTAGGTGAATTTTAGTAATAATTTTCCTGCTCACTTGCCACTTTTAAGATACGATCTGTTATCATTAGGATTGCATTTTCGACTTCGAACAGTTTCACATTTAGTAAAGCAGTTTCTTTGAAGAAACAAAAGATAAATAAAATTGTTACAGATACGATGTTACTATAATAATAATTTGTAAGAATATAATGCGTTTTGGCATGCTTTCACGTCGAAACGGATTAACCGGTTACGATAATAATTGCTGTTGTACTTTCTTTGTTACGGACAATTTTGTATAGAGCTTCGGTAATTTAGTAAATCGGTTATTTAAATGCGAACTTTTTTCAAACAATCACGCAATTATCTATATTTTCTCTTTTGCCAACTTTTTGAAGATAAGTACTATTTTCTCTTTTGCCAACTTTTTGAAAATGAGAACTGGTATTCATTTCTTAGTACTCTGATTCTGTTGATCTCGTAGGAAAAGAATCTGTTATTCCATATGTACAATGGTCTCTTAATGGATAAAACAGGAATCTTGCGTTGAAAAAATTGGACCTACCCTAGTAGTACGTCACCTATTTTTTTATCTTTATGTATGTGGTCTACGAATTATTAAAAAATACAACTGGAAAAAGTACATAAATACATAGATTTTAACAATCTATTCACACAGTAGGTTTGGGAGATGCCATGCTTCGGCACGAATGGGTCGGCTCGACACCACGGCCTCACATAAAAACGGCGTGAGACTACTACAGCGTTTTGTTTCGCTGTGTAAGTGAGGTTACCGGAGGCCCAATCCTTCCCCTCCCCCAATCCCTCCTCAATCCCTAAATCTCCAAATCCTTAATCCCTCAAAGGTCGGTAACGCACTCGTAATTCCTCCGTTTCGGGTGGTCAGGTAATGCGTCTGATCGTTTGCCGACCTATTACATAAAAAACAGTAAACTAAATTAACTCATGTTTCTATTCACCCTTTCCACACATTTGAAACAGAGTCTGACAACGAATCTAGAACAATTTATCGCGATCATAACAGTTACAGTGACTGGGTTTAAACGAATTATTGTGAGATTAGGTACAGTGTCCACTGTTTTGTTAAATATTTAATTTATCGTACTTAGTTGTTATATTTATGAAACTGCTGGACTGCACAGTTGGTGCGGTGGCTGGGTAACAGGCTGCCGTGCAACGTGTCGCGGGTTCGATTCCCGCACGGAACAGTTGTTTCGGGTCTGGGTGTCATTTGTATGTGAAATTGAATGTTTGTAAACGCACCCACGACACAAGAGGAAATCCTAGTGTGGGGCATATATTATTTAAAAAAAAAGAAACCACCCGGTTAATATTTATCTATTGTTTATTAAAAATTAAAAAGTCACAAAATCTAAATCTCATGTTTACATTGTTGAATCAAAGTTGCAATTTTAACCGATTTTACGATATAAGATTGACACCCTTTAAAAGTTCGATGTACGATTACATAAACGTTACTTGAATGCGGCGGTTGCCATAATGACGTCTCCATAAAGCAAGTTGTGAATCAATTACTTTCAACCGCAAACTAGATAACTTTTTAAAATACCTTTTTGTAGTAGAAGATGACATAACGTTAGAACATTGGAACCTATTACAAATAGTATTAGGGTACTTATTACAAGATTATTAGTAATTCTCAAACCCTGAGAAAAAGCTGGCAACGAATTTTTTACTCTTCGATTTTGTTGACGATTCCAGTGATCAGGTCATCTACCGCACCATCCCATTAAATATTATAAAAGCGAGTGGCAGAATGACCTTTTTCAGAATCAGACTATACAGGCAATAAATACCTTTTTATATTAAGGGCTATGTTTTGCTACCTTCACATAAATTCTCCATAAAGTTATGTGGTATATGTGTAGTTTAGAAAGATTCAGACGTTCCATATTCAAATTAATCAACCATATTTTTCGTAAGACTTGATACTTACAAGTGCAGCGGGTTTCGTCTTCCCAGTTATGTACAACCTCTGAATGCAGTATCCATTTTATTATAGGTAAAAGTGATTATTGATACCTGGTACTATCTAACCAGGATAAAGTACATGTTTTGTATAGATTTGCATATAATTATTATGGTGACAATTTACCTTGCTATGCTGAATTGATTAACTGACGAATGTCATTAAATGCATGGTATAAATAGATCTTTTATTTGTACTTGTGTATTGTTAGGATTGATTTTTACTTTGTTATCATTTTAATATTTACTGCCTGATTTTATCGTGGAATAAATACTATATGTATATTTGCCCGCTATTCGAAATTTAAAATGACGTTCGTAATGTGCTTTCGAAAAATGGCGGGAATTAGGGGGATTTTTAAACGGTTTTATTTAGCTCACCCCGTTTGTTTTATTAACGAGTTGTTACATTTTGAAATGATGATTGGTCAGAAAGAAAAGACATTTTATTGACATAGGAACATTTTTGTATGAAGATATTAAACGTTCAAATAATATAATAAATTATCGTCTTTTTTCTTCATAGCCGATAGCTGTCTAACAAGTTGCCGTAACCGAAGTTTACAATCTATACCGATATTATAAACATGAAAAGGTTTTCTGTTAATCTCCAGAACTATTGTTGGAATTGAGCAATTCTCAGGACACTTAAGGGCTGTAAAGTTCTATGTATAAGATAACACTTTTAACAAAGATAAAGCTCACAAGGTTTAGAAAACACACCACATTGCACAATAGGTAACATATGTAGGCCAAAACTATTA